CATACAAATCACCAAATACATACCTAGACGTCTAGCAATATAGACGGACAAAGCAAATGTGGTCTTAACGTATTCACCAACTTTGGTCTGAAACGTTTGAGGGTGAGAGGAAGCTGCTGGATCAATGGCAAGGAAAGTGATGAAGTATGTTGTAATAGGCAGAGGGATGAAGTAATTGTATTTCTCGACCCGAAGGAACTTGAAGTTGGTTCGATGCAAGAGATTGTAACGATGCAGGCCAATCTCAGCATAAAGGGTGACTAAGGCACGGCAAGGCCTCCGATCACTACAGATCTCCACCGCCATTGCAGGATCACCCCAGAATGATTCATGAGAACTCTGCCTGTCAGCGAAACCCTAGGAGAGGAGCAAATATTGTTAGCAAATCAACCTAGAAGGATCCTCTAGATGAGATAAAGAGAGAGAATTACATCGAATTTAGGCCGTGCTAGTTTGAATAACTTGTCCCTCGTAGCCATTTCCCTCTGCATTTCCCTCGTAGCCATCGTCTTTGGTCGATTTAGGGCTTTCGCAGCGATCGATGATTCTTTGGTCGGGTTGATTGTATTTATATACATCCCCTTCCGGCCCACTCAGTAGTTTTGGGCTTCAATCCTAGCTGTCTACATAACCAGTCAAAGCCTGGTTGTAACCTTCTCCAACATAGCCCACCTGGCTCATACTACAAGAACCGGCATTCGTAAGTGTACAAACCAGATCTAGATCATGTAACAGCATCTGGATCAGGCTCATATCCCATTAATATAAACGCAAATTACCAAACTTTATAATCACAAAACACCCAAAAATCGAGCTTTTTTTTCGCATATTAACATTGATGGAACTTTGATGGAGCTTAGCAATTGACGACTTATTGGTCTAATAAATTGATGAATCATATGCATATTAACCATTTTAAAAAAAAACACAATGGTTACGAATTAAACAACAAATCAAACATAAAGAGTGTGAGGCCTTCTCGAAGTCACATCCACAACAAGAGACATGTAACAAACTGACTAAAAACACTAAACAATGAACTAACAAAACCCAAACAGTAATTAGATTTTACATCATTAATCTCACAGATACACAAGAGAGGCCTTTCACCTTTTTTTTTCCCCATCTCCTAATGCTGGGATTCTATGTTACATAATGCCCGGTTTTCCGTCTGTGTCGACTATAGTCCGAGACAAACCTAAACGACAATCCGCATTCCTGGACCTTGCATATGTATGGTCGTTCTCCCGTGTGCAGACGCAGATGCTCGGTTCTCGCCCATTGCCATTTGAAACTCATGGAACATCCTTTCCAAGAGCACTCGAAAGGTCTTTCATCGTTGTGAACACGTTGGTGATGCACCAGATACTTGTGAGCCCTGAATTTCTTTCCACACCCTTCGTGTGTGCAGCGGTTTCTCTTGTGAGTTTGTAGTTTCGCTTTACTCTCGAAAGTCATCTTGCATCCCTCTAGGTAACAACGGTGTTGGTGAGTTGTCGTGGAGATCTCTTGATGATGATGACTCCCCGAGCGAGTCTTTGGAGTCTTCTTTAGCCTTTTTGCAGTGGGTTTCTTTTCTTCATCGCTTGTTTCAGTGAGACTGGATGAAATTTCACATGTTGCTTTCCTCTTACCCCTTGACCTCAACCCTTCACAAGGACTCTTTATGAAACCATTGTTAGTCTCAGGCTCTGATTCTATTTTCCGCTTCTTCTTTGCTTCTCCCATAGACTTGGGAACCTCGATAGCCTTAGTGTTTTCTGAACTTGAAACTTTGCTCTCCATGCTTAGCTCATCATCTGGAGTTTGCAATCCATTTGAAGAAGCTTGATCACCATTGCTCAAACTTAATATATCTCTACAGACCATTGGTTCACCATCATGGGTCATGTCAACAACTATGTTCTCACTCACCATGTTTATTTCAAGAACCTCCATACCCACTTGCGCTGATGAATGCTTAGTGTGCAGAAATTTTTCAGAGCACAAGTTTTCTCTGGCACACACAGCTTCTGCTCCCTCCACCTGTGTGTGATCACCAGGTATAGCTTCTCTTTTGGTTGGTTGAACCATCTGTGATTGCTGGTCATCCTTGATGTTAGTGACAGTAGACCTCAGTTCTTCGAACTCTTGGCCACTCATTTCATCCGCTTCCTGAACATCACGTACAGGCACATCACTGCAAACATACTCCCCAGACAACTTTCTTGGTCCATCATGATTATCACCTGTACAACAAACAAGCATAGTCTGACTTAACACAACACGACTTCCTGAGCTGGAGCCATTATTATTGCTGGTCATAGAGTGTCCTTGGGGCTCTCTACTTTCGGAAGTTAGGTTAGCAGTGTCTCCATTCACCTTACTAGAACTATTTGTGATATTCCCACCCAAAGCTGAACAAAACTTGACAGTGATCTCGGGATGTTCTTCACCGTGTGCCCCAGCGAAAGATGAGCTACAAGGATTCTCGGTGAAGGATACCCCATTCCCGCCAATGGCCCTTTCAGAGCCTCCAATATCATTGTTCATCTCAAAATGAATTGCACTATCCAGATCTGACCTATTGGCAAGTTTATTGCACGTATTATCAAAATCTTTTGATTTAGCTAAGGTAGCTAGTTCCTGACCTTGTACTCCAGAAGGCTTGGGATTCAACTTTTTCTTTCTCGAGTACTGGATGATCTTTTCTTCCTTTCTTTTGACTTGAGAATCCAAATTCTCTCCTAATTTTCCGTCTACTTTTACTTCAACATGTTCACGAGGTGTAAAACTTGAGGTAGAACTGGGTTTAGCTTTTGAGCGTGATTTTCTCTGCAGCCATTTGATAGTTGAAAAATCTAGCATGTGGCTTGTGTCGGAGAATAAGCCACCTGGTGACAGTGCATGCTGAATTTTCCTAGTAGGGGAGTTTTTCCTCACTTTAACACAGTATCGTAAATTGATGCCAAGTTTTGAGGTCCAGTCTACGCCATGTTCGTTGTTTTCTTCATCTTCAATAGCAAGATCAATTAGACTCAACTCTTCTTGAGATGCACTCTCCAATAGGACATCATCATAGCCGAAAGGGACTTTGACCTCTTCTGCCACTATAGCCGCATGTGCCTTAAATTTTTGAAAGTCTGCAACAATTCCAAAACGGTTACAGCAGAATGGTCAACAATCAACAGATTTTTACATAAATTTGTTTTACATCACATTGGAGTTAAATGTTATAGCAAATGATGCGTGTACTTACCTTTATGGCAAATTACAAGGAACTTCAGTCCACCTCTTGATTGCAGAAGTCTCTGAAGTTCAACAGTGTGTTCGAGGCAGAAAATGCGAGGTCTTATATATCTGGAGGACGTGTTCCATTCACCGTCAGATAGTGACGTAATTTTCTGGGCATCTGTAGAATTAATAGAAGCACAATTAACAGGCTTCAAAACGCTAACATAGATACTGCAGTCCATAGCTTGGATACAAAAACAATGGTCTGTTACCTATCTCTCCTTGACTCTCTGAGAGATCTTTCAATGCTTTTTCAGAAGGCTGTACCACAGACATAAAGGGGAAGCCAAGAACGCCACATGCCACACATGCTAAGGTTCCAGAATCAACTTGGAAATCATTAAGCAGACCATCATCATCGTCGTAGTATACATCGTTCAGCTTCTCCATGAACAAACTCAATTCCTCTAAAAGGGAAGTCTTCTCTTTATTCTGCATACCAAAATGATCATCCTCGAGTTCAGATATTGCCACTGCTGGAGATGAAACAGCAGTCTCAGCAGCTGCAAGAGCCAGTGCACTATGACGCGGAAGTAGATCAGGGTCCCACATCACCAAACGAAAGCCTGGTTCTCGAAGAAGAACAGATAAATTCTTGTTTTCATTCAATATATCTTCTACAAAAGCTTTTTTCACAAGGAATTCTCTTTCTTCTCTCTGTCGATCTCTCAGTCGGGAGCTACGACCACCTGGCAGCAATGATCGTGGCACTCTGGAAAATTTAATATTTACACAAGTATGAGAATAGACATGGTCCATCAAAACTTAAAGGTTATATGTACAAAGAGACCATGGAAACTTGCCTTGAAACAAAAGACATGGTCAAGAGATACAGCAGCTGCTGATGGGACAGCATGGGGAGATAATTCATGGCTGCCCGACGCAGAGCAGCTTCCTTAGCTACGTTGAGCCACTGTGGAGTTCCAAAATTAGCGGCTTCCCCACAGTTAAAACCTAGAAAATGTGAGATTAAATCTGCTTAGTTAAGGATTCTTAATAGCAATTTGTATTCCTAATCTAAGCCAAACTATCCACTTTTACTATGCGACTGATATAATTACTTATAGTTCTTCCTTCTCCCCAATTAGAAGGTCAACCCTCACCTCATGCTATGTGGATAAAAACCCTTTTTCTCCAAAGCTAATTCAATTTTCACATTTTCTCACGCACTTTGAAGAGTGCAAAATGAAACGAATAGACTGCAATTACAAAGACTGGAAAGAATGTTTGGAAAAAAGAAAAAAAAGCATCATTTTACCGTGGCTGAATCCTACATGATAAGACCTCGGAAAAGTCACAACAAAGTCACCAGGATTTTGTACCAACCTACGTAGGATAACAAACATAGATAAACATAGATACAGCAGAGCATGAAAGTAGTTGTAAGAAAATACATACTGCTTCACATCTCCCCATAACAGAAGTGAAAGTCTAAATAAAATAAACGGCGTACCTACAGCAGGGAATGCCAGATGCAACTATCATCTCAGGTGATACAAGAGTAGTCTTTTCGCCTAGTTGGGTAAGAGCAGCTGACAGTGACAATGAGAAGAAAAGGTTAATGAGAAACAGGACAATGCATTTCTAACGAAGTGTTGCATCGTCTCATATCTATCATAACGTCAAAAGCAATAGATCTAAGACATTTTTTCCAAGAGTATAAACTTTCATCATACCATAGTCAATGTTATCCACATTTCACTTGCAAAGTAATAAAAATGGTGCTATTAAAGAAACAGTCGATGAGTGGGGTAATCATTCTAGTAAATCTCATTTCTCACATGTATTATACCAACAACACATTTCTAAAAAATATAGAAACAGTATATCATCTAGCAGTACTTTTAGAAAAGAACGTACCCAGTTGATCAATGTTTCTGCCATAAGAATTTTTGCGGATAACCTCTTCAAAGTCAAGCGCATAATCAGCAGGGACAGCGTACCAAGTCTTTGGTGAGCCAGTGTGAAGATAATTCATACTGTGAAGCTCATGGTCCTCAACGTGCCAGGCAAACCAACTGAACAACATACCGATATAAACCATAGGAGACGTAACACCAGGGATGTCATCTGGCATGAAACGTGTAACAGAGCCAGGTGAACGTGCAATCATCTGAAGGTTCCATGAACTGTTGGAGAGCTTCCAGCCTGCAGTACCTTCCATTTCATCAACAACCTCCAAGTTCTTCCGCTTGGACGAATCCTGAGATAATAAACTTGTAGAAGCAATAGATGCCTTTTCTACCTCAAGCGATGTGCTTTCACTGTTCTTACCTGAAGGATCTTGACCATTATTTCCATCATTGATTTCTGGCTTCCTCTGATAAGAACCCCTTCCTCTCCTCTTTCGCTGCCGGAAATGCCTGAAATGACCCTCTGGCTCACCAAACGCCGAGCCAGGCACATCATTTGCATATTCGATATACATAGGCTTCTCTGAAGCCGCTTTCCAGAACAATGCCTCAACCACAACTGGTGAAACTTCTTTAACCGTTCCTAACTGGCATTTGTAAAAAGTTCTCGACTTAGTTTCAAACTGCTCCAACGTATACACCCCTCCACTTTGCCACACCTGCTTAACACCACTCTTTTGAGAATTACTCTCTCCTCTTTTCGTTTTTTTCCCAGCCTGGCCTAACTCTTGCTGCCTCGTGGTAAACACAGCTCTATCCTCTGGACACACCTTCGAAATGTCTGCATCCGAAACCAATTCGGGACACTTCAAAAGCGACTTGTTCAAGTTATGAAAAACATACTTTTTCGACGGCTTTGGTAATGGAGGAACGATCTTGCAAATCCCAAAAGCACTAGCTTCCTTCTCGATTTTCGATATATACGCAATAGGATCTGCAAATTCAGTGTCTGTAGGTCTAAAGACAGGTGCCAATGGCAAAGCTTTAAGCCAATTGGGAATTTCAACATTACCCATCTCAATGCGAACTCCCGTAAGATACAAGAACAATTGAACAAACCCCCGAAATCAGATATCAACCCACCATGCGAAATTAGCAACCTAGTGAAAACCCAGAACTCTAAAACCCTAGATTCCGAAATTCCGATACTGATTTCTAATCTGCTTGGCTAATTCCAATCGAGACTACATCAACAAGGCAATGAAAATTGTGGGTATTGATACAATTAACAAAGGCAAAATCACCGGGAAATCCATGAGGAGGAGAAGAGAAGAGGAACACCCAAACGATATAAACTGTGCGGTTGCGCAACGACGGATAAACGG